TTCCCAGAAATAACATTGTCTATGTCATTTGCAACCTTCTTGACAATGTTGACTAACAATGGGACATCAGCGGAACCAGAGTGTGAAGCAGATGTACTCGCCTGGTTATAAATTTGAGATTCTTCAGCTGTGGATGGCTGGGTGACAACAAAAACAATCGTCTCCGCTGCCTTCATTATGGACCTACACTGCAGGGCGCCATAGCAGAATGTTTTTTTAAACATTATACCATCTGGCAGGCCCTGAACTTCAAAGTTCTTCTTTAGATAAGGCACTTGTGAACCTGGCTGGCCAATTGCTTCACCTTTAAATCAAATGCAAAAAGTAGTTTTAGTAACTATTCTATTTCTGTGAACGTTAGTCATTCGTTTCCTAGCAAGGACAAGTTAATGTACATTTTTTTTGAGGATTTTCAAAAGTAAGAACTTAAGAGTTGATGTCAGTAAGGATCAAAGATCGCGCGGACAGAGCTCAAAATTTGATTTTGCGTATACTTTCTACATTGGTAGGCCCAGGTACTATACATATGAAATCTAGGTTTATTTGCCCAAATATATATATTTTTTTAAAGAAATTTGATTTCAACTGTAATCGGTATTTTTCGTCGTAATAACCTTGAAAATTGCCAACTTTCACAAAGTTATCAAGTCATTTAGTCGATCGTTTTGAGGTGTCTTCACAGACATCCAGTTAGACTAAAGCTATTTCAGTCCACTGATTCCCAAAACAGCTCGCTAAAGTTGCTCACAAAAAATAGATGATTTTTTAAAGAAGCACACCAACATCCTTCTCGAATTTGGTGGAATGGCTGGTCAAAACATGTCAGAAATGCCCGCGGAATGCAACCAATCACACCAGAAAACCTTTTGGTATTCTTTAAAGGATAGTTTTCACTTTCTACAAGTTAACATGTTTGGGATCGTTTGTTCTTTTTTGGTAAATAGTTCTTAAAGTGAGCACAATTCTGCCTTCCGCCATCTTGTAATGTCTTACATTACCGAAACTGGCGAAACGGAAGTCACCACTACAAATGGTACAAATTTTTTCACCTCTTTGCACTAAAGAATCTCCCATAGGCTTTAAAATCAACGACATTTACTTGTAATCAGGTCCAGTGTCAAGAAAATGCAAGAAGAAATGCACCATACTATGGCGGGGTAACTGTCTGCAATCGTAGTCTGCAAAAACTAAAAGTAACTCAGTGCTGTGACTCTGGCAACGTCTGGACTTAGATGCACTTTGCTGAGTCTCACTTGTGTACCCTTCGCTTGAGCTTTCAATACTTATCCCTTTCATTTTTGGTTTTGACAAGTCTCATCCCATGGGTGCTTTTAACTCTCCATCCCGCACCTCGCATAACAGTATTCCATGTGTCACGCAATATGTGACAAATGAACCAGAAATGAAATTCTCCTCAAACTCCTTTACTTAAACAGTCTAAATCAGAAGCTGCAATTTTTAAATTAGATTTATGTGGGTAAATTATATGATCTCAACTTTAACTATAATCACACATATATCTAGAAATATTAAACTAAAAGTACTAACATCATTTTTTTAGAAGTTTCAGGATATGTTTCAATACTGTCATGACTATCAAGAGGAATATCTATACCAGGAATACTTCTGAACCATCGCTACTCACGGTCAATTTCAGGAACCTAATAGTTGGCAAGAAGCACTGGACTTGTATAGGCAACTTTAGCTATAGCAATCTGAGTTAGCCTGATTGACCCTTGATCCGACCAAGCCTACCAGTATTTGTCTTTACATGTCACTTTATACTTGTTTGACATTCCAATCATGCACTACCTAAAGAATTATGCGCTAAAGACATAAATTGTAGAACTTTTAG